GGGGTAGTGATGTGATTGGGATCTACCTCCTAGTTGGAATAGGCCAATAAAGGCGTTACATGGAGGGGATTTCACGGGGTCGACGGGGAGGAAGTGGGGGTAGGAAGCGATTCATTCCTTCCATCGTCACCGGAAGCTCCTCATATCGGATGATCCGGTGGAAGTGGGGGAAGTGATCGCCGCTGCGAGGGAGGGAAGCAAGGTAGTCACGATAGAAGGAGGAGAGGGTGCGGAAAAGCGCCGCTCGAAAGAACTCGTAGTGGCGGCAGGCGGGGATTGTCCCCGTGGCAACGCAGTAAACTTCTACCACGTTGCATCGCTCCCATGCAGCGCTGAACATCAGGAGATGCCAGCAAAACGTGGGGGCAGCGGATTGAAGGGAGGCRTGGGGGTGGACGGTGGCGAGTAGGCGGGTAGAAGAGAAGTCGCGGAAGAGATGGGGAAGGAAGGGATGGGAAGGGAAGGTGATGGGGGTACGGATCTGCTCGAGGGTGAGGAAATCAAGGGGCCAGCGGGACAGCGTCCGAGGACGAAGGCCTATCGGCCGCATCGGTACGTGGGCGAACTGGGGGACGGGTGGGGCTCGAGGAGGAGGGGGATCGGCTCCGTCTCCCTCGCGCGGTACTTGAGGTGGCGGCTGCAGGGTCGCAATCTTCGGGCTTCGGCGGCTCTGGATCCCTGGTTGGATCGTTACCGATGCGCAGGCTAGCTTTGCTGGCGAACTCTAGCTGGCGCTTCCCGGTGGCAATTTCTTCGCGCTTTCGCGCCGCTTCCGGATCTTCCGCCTCCGTTCCCGTACGCGTTGCTTCCTCCGGCAAGGCTTCCCACTCGGATCCGGTTTCTTCTTCCTCTTCTCCTTCGCTCAGCTCGCCCTCGCTATGTTCACTATAGCTTCCCTCCTCCGATGTTTCCTCGTCTTCGTCCTCTTCGTCGTCGTCGTCGATCACCACGTCCTCTGCCCTCGAATAGAAGGCGTGAGGGATGATATCGTACGGCTTCAGATACTCCTGCCGCGATGGTAGCGTATCCTCGTCCCTAGGTTCCTGCAAGCACGTAGTCCACTGAAGTTACGGATCCAATGATCGGTCGAAAATGTACGGAGCAGGACTGTCGTCACTCTGTGAATAGATGTCGGCGAGAGATCGTCCGCCATTTGCACGATCAGTGTGATGAGCTCCTGCGCAATCAGCTGGCGGCGCCTCGGCTGTACCGATCCAAAGAGAAAGCCAAGAAGATATCCCTCCACGTTAGTCCTACAAGCTTGGATGATTAGCAGCTCCGGATTTTCGATCCACGCAGGATGCCCGCTGGTCGGTGTCCATGTCACCTGTACTCTGGCCAAGCAGAAAGACAGCTCCTCAAAAGTGTCGTGCCACAACTGCCAATGTCTAGGATTGATAAGAGGGACCGAAAGAGGCTCAAACGAGAAGGAGAGAGAAGGATGAAGATCGGATTGCCAGAAGGTGGGGAAGAGAGGGGGGACCAAAGATAGAGAGAGGAGCGAGAAGATCAGCATGGTTCATTGGGGATGTGGGAAGGGGACGAGGGTTGGGATCTCAACTGGCCGCTCGCGAGGTGATCGGCGAATATCGCCAAGATCCGGTGCAAAGATCGGGATGAGGTTATACCCCTGTCGAGCGAGTACGTGCCACCACACGTTGGACACTTGCTCCGTCCACTCGCGCAGCGAGGTCAAGATCGCAGTATGCCACTGTGGATTGACCGAGCTGATGTTGCCGCTCAACACCGCAACCGTGGTGACGTGGCTTGTTCTGGGGCCCGCTCGCCGGTGAACTGCGGTTACCTCCGCGAATACTACTGCGTGAGGACTTCGTTCGATTCGAAACGCGGCGGCGGCACAGATACCTTCGTCGCAGAAGAATCGCATCAAACGCCGAAGATCCGCATTGAGCCGAGGGTTACAAACTTGTCGAATCTCTGAGATGTGGCCACGTGGCTGCAACAGCTGCGCGTCAAGAACCCGCTCCGTGATAAAACTCATGGCGAGGTGGGAGAGGAGGGCGAAGGACAAGAGGGAGAAAGAGGAGAGAGTTAGATCGTCGTCGTTCTCCTTGCTTTCCGAGGAAGAAGAGGGAGGAAGATCTGAAGGAGGAAGAAGACGGAGGTAGGAGGTATGCCGGACGATGGGGACAAAGCTATGGCTGGCACTAAACTCAGGCGCAATGCGCACCGTGTTGGCGCCTTTGGGTCCGAGCTCGACAACGCAAAAACAGCTAGAAAACTTGGGAGCGAGATTCCGGTCGCGTGCACATTTACGTACCTGCATAAGGTCCCCTAATTTATATTGATGCTGGGGCCCAACATTTCCATTCCGAGCCTCGTAGCTACGGACCTGTCTACCATGGGTCAGTTCGGTCATCCTTTGCCTTTTTCGGGTTAGCTTCCGGGCGGCTCGTTCCATTAATTCGGTGTACCTTTTGGCCTTGGCCTTGAGAGCTGTACGTGTGTCTCTACCCCCTGCTTCGGCAATTTCCGAGTTACCCCAGTAGTCGACACAGGAGAGGCTATTAGTTCGAAGTTGAAAAGTGGTAAACCCCGTGGACTCGTGAGGGGTGGCCCGGTGGATCCTGACGATTTGATGTACGATCCGGGGCCATGGACGTGTGTCATGTGCCGCTAAGTTCCTGCGAAGGGCAGTTTTAATCATATAGTTGGCATTTTCGGCCAACCCGTTTGACTGGGACACGTGGGGTGCCGTATGTCGGAGCGTGACGCCCCTTCGCGCAAGCAGTTCTTCTACCTCACCCTTGAACTCGGACCCAATGTCGATTAGAATTTCTTTCGTATCTAGATGGGTATAGAGGAACCGTTCGATGTATGTGGCTATTTCTGCGGTTTTTCAGGTCTTACAGGGATAGACTTCGATGTACTTGGAAAAATGATCTATTAATACCAGCAGGATAGAATATTCACAGCGGTTTGGGCCAGGTGGCACGTCGATATCTGTCATGTCCATACAGACTCGCTGGAAAGGACGCTCTACTTCCGTTGGTACGATCGTGTTTGGTCCCCGTATAGGGGCGCGATCAACGGCACAAACCAGACAGTTAGCGACAATGTATTTGACATCATCTCGTATATTGGACCAGAACCATCTGTTCTGATCTACAGTTGCCTCCGTGACACGTATTGCGAAATAAGCGGCCTGTTCTTCATGAGCAGATCGGATCCAATCATATCTCTGGAATGGATGGGGAACGGTCAACCACGAGCCCGATCCGTAAGTTTTACGTTTTTCCAAATGACCGTTGACCCATCGATAGTCCCGAGATCTCTCGATCGCCCTACGTCTGTCGTGTTTGGTGAGGTGGTCCAGTGATAATCCCGCTAATATTGCCAATAAAATTTTATCCGTCCAAACCTCCGCTCGTCGGTATTTTTCGTCGTATTCGGGGCCGTCCATACGGGCGGCCTCGAATCGAACCTCCGTGGGGAGTTTGTTCGTTCCTCACAGGGGGCATCTCCATTCCTTGCTATTCGTCTGATATCGAACGCAAGCCCCGTGCGCACGATTGACACACGTGGGACATTCTACCCAGTCGACAAACCTGGTTTCGAAAGGATGGCAGTCGACCCCATAGACCCGTGCAATGCACGTGCAAAAATAACAGAATTTGTCGGGGAGGGAGGCAAAGAAAGCTGAGGATGTGAGAGGGGAAAATTTATTAGGAGATGCAGGGGTGGCGGAGGCAAGTGGGAGAGTCATGATGACAAGAAGGAAGGGATGCAAAGAGGGTAGAACAGACCAATTAGTCCTCGTGTCACTCACTGCTTCGATAAGATCTCCACTTGGCCGTATCGAGGTCTGATCTCCTGTTCGGGGTCGTTCCACGGAATTACCTCCTCACTCTTCGGAACCTTCTCAGGCCGGTGCAGTCGTGTCAGTTCGTCCGCATTCCCGTGTCTCTCGTGCTTCCAATGACGAATGTCAAAGTCCATGCTCTGCAGCACTGTTGCCCATCGCCCGATCATGCCAGAGTAATCCTTCGATTTCTTCAAAGCCAACAGGGGCTCATGATCAGTTATCAAGGTGAACTTTTGCCCGTACAGGTAAGCGCGAAAGTGGCTGATTCCCCAAAGAGCCGCGTACCATTCCCCCATTGGAGCAGCGTAGTTGCGCTTGCAAGCTGGCACCGATTTGGAGGCATACTCCACCACACTCTCGAGTCCGCTCGGTCCCACCGGGGCAAGGATCGCCGAAATTGCCTCTGGCTGCCAGTCAGTGATGAGAACAAAAGGCTTTTCGGGATCCGGTCTTATAAGGAATGGAGTCGAAATGAGAGCAGCCTTGAGTTTGGAAAACGCTTGATCGCACTCCGGCGTCCAGATCAACGATAAATATTTGCGCAGCAGATTCATGAGGGGTCCCGCAATCGCCGCGAAGCCCTTGATAAATCTTCGGTAGTACGAGGCYAGGCCCAGAAAGGCGCGAACTTGCGTGATTGTTGTAGGCACCGGTGCAGTCCTAATAGTTGTCGCCTTCTGTGGCTCCGGCTGGAGTCCCTTGTCTGTCACCACGTGCCCTAGGGAGGAAATGGTGGTAAGAAAAAACTTACACTTCTCAAGCGCCACCTTGAAGCCCGCATCCCGTAACGCGTGCAGTGCCCATTCGATGTGCTGCACGTGTCCCTCGTAGGAACTCGAATACACCAAGATATCATCCATGTACACAATCACGCAGTAGTTGACGATGCTCTGTGCCAAACGAGTCTTTCTCACGAAATTATAAAAAGCCATGTTCATGGCTCGCTGAAAGGTCACGGGGGCGTTGCAGATACCCATCGGACATCGAATCCACTGCCACGTGCCCTCGAAAAGTACAAACGCTGTTTTCGAACGATCTTCTTCTCGAACAAGAAGATGATGGAACCCATGRCGAACATCAAACTTGCTGAAAAATCGAGCACTCCCAATCGCATCTAACAACTCATCAATCCGGGGGAGGGGGTACACATCTTTGATTGTGATATCATTCAACTTTCGGTAATCAATGCAAATGTGAATCCCTCCGACTTTTTTAGGCACGATTACTACGAGAAAAGACCAGGGACCTATGGCGGGTTCGATCCATCCATTAGCTTCGAACTCCTTAATCCGCTGAAAAGCGGTTGCTCTTTGAGCTGGCGAGTATCGGTAGGGAGCGCAGCTAATGGGCGGATGATCTCCCGTGAGGATGGCATGCTCAATCACATTAGTTAAGCCGATATCATTATCAYGCATGCTCARCACTTCTGCGTAACCATTCAACACACAGATTAACGACTTCCGAAGTTYCGTGGGAACATGACTCGGGASGGGGATTGTTGATTCCCCGGAAATCTTAAGGGGCATATCGACCCAATCAACCGGCYGTTCCCGCCGATCACCGACACTAGAGAAGATGKAACTACTRGTGCGAACAGAGAAGACATTTGCTATCATCTGGGACTCCGCGGGGCTAATCATCTTCGTTTCTTTAGTTTCAGCGTCAGTCTCTGAACCAATCGAGGTCGGTTCCACAATTAGCCCCGTTAGATCCGTTATTTTTTGCATCACATTAGGTACATCACTCACTGGTGCTTCCGCCTTTGTTTAATCAAGGCAATGGTGGCTCCTGTCGTTAGTAACGATCTGGGCGGAAAAATAGAAACATCCAAATACTGTTCCGTTTGCTGATAACGCGTTCGTAAGGAGAGAGTTCCCTCGTACAAGGTGCAAGGGGGTTCCAAATCATCAGTCAGGTCGGACACTTGTAATATGGGTTCCCCAAGGAGAGCCGAAAAACTAACTTGAATTTTCGGATGCGCAAGCGGGCTGTCTCCTGAATCCACGTGGAAGCTTCAAGCAGGGTCAGAGCACACTTGGAAGTCTTCGGGAATTTCGTGTTCGAACAGTTCAACCAGGTGCTTCCATTCATCTTCGCTTGGAAACTCTTATTCGTATTCCTGTTCCCTGATTCCACTATCAATATCTGAGGAAGAACACTCTTCGGGATTGATGTATCTAATCATCCCTATTTGGGCCGAGTTAGGGGTTCGTTTTATCGTCCRSGTGGAAATTCGCAGAGGAACRGTTTGAGGCTTTCCCCCAGTTTGAGTGAGCACCAACTGTTTCGAATCGAAATGCAATCGTGCGCCCACCGCCATCGCCCAAGGCAATCCTAATAGTACAGAATAGGAGCGCACATCTATTACGAGTGCGTTGACGAGGACGTGTACTCGTCCAACCTTTACAACCACGTTTTCAATAATGCTTACGATATTCATTGCTTCCTCGTCGGCGGAGACATAATTGTCCTTGCCAGATTGAGGAAGAATGGATCCGAGTCGTCCCGTCTTCCTGATAGTGTCCAATGATATGGCTACTGCAGAAGACCCTGTGTCGATAAGGGCGTTAAACGGCTCGCCCCAAATCTCGCAATCACACTCCGCACTTTTCCATAGCACCGGCCGAACTCGTAAGAAGTGATCTTTCTCCACTAAAGAGATCGCTGTTATTCGTGCGGCCTCAGGTTCGCGGGCTTTGGGTTCGGGTTGTGCCACTTCCTCGTTTCCTTCCTTCTTCTTTAACATCCGTTGTATGCGCTAATAGGTGAAGCACTTTTGATTTTTCTGGCAATGTTGTAAAAGTTTATCATTCGCCGCTTCAGATATGGTGAGCAGATGTCCCACCGGGATCGGAACACGAATATCTAGTTGTTTGAGTGCTCATAGCACGTCAATCTCTCCTGTTCGRAACTGCGGACCAGGATTGGATTCGCGATCGACCCATTCGAGATCATCAAGGGCCGATCGGATTGCTCCGACTATGCCTGCAAGATGAAGATATTCGAGTGGATCGACCACGTCAGCAGCGTCAGAGGGGGAAGCTCCTGATGTCGACGCCATTGTCGTCGAAGGGCAAGGCTGCTCTGGAGCATATGCTACGAGCTCCCCTCCTTGGTCTCTATCCATCAGAGCGGCCACTTGTCCCTGATTCAGGGCGACAGGAGCCGCGGCAGGTGGAGGCTGATTACGCTTTGGCTGCSGACAGTCTCGGGCGAAATGTCCGGGTTGTTTGCAGTTAAAACACTCGATCTTTCCCGCTGAATTAGCTAGATGAGGGAACTGAGGTGCGTACCCTGGAGCAGGCGGGGCAGGTAAGAGCGGAAATGATGCGGGGGCCGGCCGAGCTGAGGCCGGGTTAGGCTTGATTAGCCTATTCATTATCTGTTCCATCCGTTCCATATG